CTACTAAAGTGGTGTAGGGTTAACCAATCGAGCGAATCACCGGAATCTTTACAGATGCTTCTAAAGTAAACTGCGGTGTTGGTTCTGGTGTCTTCTATTTTTCAATTTGAAATATTTGCGATAATGTCAGCCTTTAGGGTATAATATGACCTTAATATTTGCGACAATTTTTGTCGATCGTCAAGCTGCACATCACTCACTTTACTTTAGTACCACTTTCCTATTAGTTAGACAATACAAGAAATATCTGTCAAGGATGGGTCACCTGTCTGACATTAACCTTGTTGGGGACCCTGCGCATAGAGAATATTATGAAAATGAACAGGCAAATGAGCTTGTCAGAATGGCGCCGTTTAGCAACTATGGATAAGAGGTGCTCTTAGAACTAGTCATTCAGAAGCTCCAATCTAGAAACAACCGTCCTATTATATTACCCCACAGACCGACCTTGGTAGTGATTTCGAAGTCGGAGTTCTTAATAGGAGCGAGTCGTGTAGGTGTAACCTACTTAGCGAATATACCACCATAATCTTTGCAGATGGTTCTAAAGTGAACTGCAGGAATTTTTGTCGATCGTCAAGCGTCACATCTCTCACTAAACTCCTTTACTACCACTTTTCTATTAGTCAGGCAATGCAAGAATGGGTAGCCTGTCTGACATTACTCTTGTTTGGGTCCCTGCACATAGGGACTATTATGAAAATGAACAAGTGGATGAGCTTGCCGGAACTGGATCTGCTCTTGATATCACCAACGCCGTTGATATCACCAAATCCTTTAGAAAGCTGTATCCTCAGATTCTTTCTTCTAGATACATGTAAAGAGGCCAAGCTATTGTGGCCTTCTTGCATTGAGAAACGCACAATACATCTTATAAACCAAAATAGGCGGAATATATTGAGATTGAAAGCAGTAATAACAGGACACTGGGTGCTAGACAGACATGCAAGTCGTCTTTGGCTCCCCTTCAATGATCGGCTATACAAAGCTATACTGTCGCAGTTGCAAAGACAGGGAAAATGGAATGGTATCTTCCTTCTTCTTCTCTGTGAATGTGCCGCTCTCATCGTTATGAGAAACAGTTTTCTTAATGACAACTTGAAATTTCTTTAACTCTACTTGACTGTCCGCGCGCAGTCGCGGGAGGAGCGTAAGCTCGGTGTGGAGTTGCATCTCAACCGGGTGCCATGAATAACAGTTACTTAATGACAACTTGAGATTTCTCACGGCTACGGGCTGAACCTAATACTATGCAATACTACATCTGACAAGTGAAGTGGTCCGGTCAAAACGGAGTGTCTTCAACTGTACTTGACTGTTCGTGCGCAGTTGCGGGAAGGGCGAAAACTTGGTGTGGAGTTGCATTGCAACCGGTCAAAACGGAGTGTCTTCAACTCTACTTGACTGTTCCTGCGCAGTCGCGGGAAGAGCGTAAACTCGGTGTGGAGTTGCATTGCAACCTGATACCGTGACCTATAGATTTATAGAAGTTTAGATAGTGGAGGTCATGTCCAAATGCATGACTTCAATTCTTGTACTCCTACATCTAACGTGTTTTTTGTACTGGTTATGTGTGGGGCGCTGGTCGACGCACTGTATTCACCAGGTTCGCGAGCAGTGAACTACTACGACAACCAATCAACCAAGCAGGATTACATAGATCGTAATTCGCCAACAGCGGCATAGAACGACACTCACAGAAATGCCATTAATAACTCGGCTAAAGGAACTTGTATTTGAAGCTTCAACAGCCCAGCTAACCGATAGGCTAATCATATCGATTATTGTATAGTTTTAGCTGGTATAGGTTTAGTTTATACAACCACCGAGCTATACAGTATTTAATAAAGCAATCAATGGACATTGTGGATCGATTTCAATAACCTTCAACAGGATTCTTCATCCTCTCAGATAGTGATTCTGATCAGATTGGTTAACTGATAGGAACTTTAAGTTTAAGGGTTACAACATCTGTACAATCACCTCATTATCTTCTCTTTGTAGTATAGTACGATATAACATTAAGGAGTCACCTTATATCCGGTAGGGTAAGCAAACATTCGTTAATACCTGTAGAAACACTATAGTTTTTTCATTGCACACGCAACTTAATCAAGTTTCAGGAATGAAGGCACACAAACACTCGAGAGTTTTATATTATTTTTTCTGGTTTCTACTTCATTAAACATTTTCTTAGAAATATGGATGTTTTTGTATTCATTATAAGTTGAAGATTAAAAAATATAGCTTAAATTAATCTAAAAATTCCGAAATGTTATATTTCAAACACTCTTACTCACCCATTATGTGCAACTTATAATTGATCCTGTAAATAAAAGGCTTTTTAATTAAATGTTTTTTTCTCAAATTTTATTTAAAATTTTTACAAAATTTCTTTGCACTTGTGGTAGTAAGAAGTTGTTGATTTTTTTTTTAATTTTTAATGACATCAAGTAGTTTTTTTTTTTTGTAACGTCAGTCTTAATTTATTTAATTTTTTAAATTTTATTTATTTACATTTATATCAACAACTTAATTAAAAATTAACTTAAAATAAATTATTATTTAATTTAACTAAACTACTAAAATATACAACTCAATATGAGTCAATAATAATTTTCTTATTTGTTATTACTAACGCCATTTTGTTTTTTTTTTTTGAAATAAACGTTTTAAAATTTGTTTTGGATTGAAAATTTTCTTAATGATTTATAGCGATTTTGAAATCTTGTCTTAAATTAAGCTGGCTTAAATAATGGCACAGTATGGTACATTCATTTTTATAAATTTTAGCTTTCAAAGTGGCTCAAATTACACCGTTCCTAGGACTTTTCAAAATATTCAAAATTTTAAAAATTTTCGAAAATTTTTATTTTAAAAAAATTTAGTTCAAATTTGAGTTTTTTTATTTCTAAAACTTTTTTAATATAAAGTTCCAAAATGTTATAGGAAACGGTGTAGTTGGTTTGCTTTTGTTTCTTAAAAAATTACAGGAATTGAAGAGAAATCGATAGATATTTATTCTGTGAAATATTTTGTTGGTAAAAGGGATATATTTGTTTGAAATTTTGGAAAATTTTCAAAAAGAATCTCTTGCGAACTTATCAAAGATTCTCAGTTTTTCCCGTTATAATTGATTTTTCGGAATTTATGTATATTTTCTACTGCCAGGGATGAATATATTTGGTAATTTCGTTTCTAAAAGATCTACTGAATATAGTTTCTTCTTTAGTTATATGAAATGCTATTTCGAGAAGTTGCTCCGATATGGACTTAGGAAGTTCTTAAACGTTTACTCTCAGTTTGAACTCATTTCATAAAAAACTTTGATAAAATCTTCATTTGGATCCACATTTAATAGAGAAACAATCCAGAGCCCATTATTGAGATCGAATAGCATTGCAGTATAACTACAGAATCTGAATTTGAGGTCGCTCCGATATGGACTTAGGAAGTTTTAAAACGTTTACTTTCAGTTTGAACCCATTTTATAGAAACTTTGATAAAGTTTTTATTTGGATCCACATTTAATAAAGAAACAATCTAGACCCCATTATTGAGATCGATTAGTATAACCACGGAATCGGAAACATGGAGGTCTGACAATGAATTAAGCTATTAACAGATATAAATATTAAATATCGTTGGAATTTAGTTTGAGAAACTGGATCCGTTAAGGATTTCAAAAGTTTAAAGATTTTCTTTTTTAGATCCAATAACTATTGATAGATCTTTAGATTAAAACAACATATTGATTCATTTTATATTAAATATTATTCTATGTTTCGACATAAATGGAAAATGCTCATTGTATTACAACAGAATCTGGGGACCTATAGGCCTGAAAGTGAAATTTAGGTTAATTTTAGGCATGTATGTGGACCTTATAAAGATCTAATTCCTTTGAAATATTTCCCTTTAACATGAATATCTCGTCCACAATTTCGTTGGGGGCCTGAAGGGTTTAATTTTGTCTATTCTTTCTCAAATTTCGAAACATTCTCTAAAGTTTTCTTACTAGTGTTTATAAAAAACCGACTTTTGGAAAAACCGGTTTTTCGGTTAACCGAAAATTGACCATTTCTAAAAAACCGGTTTGTCGGTTAACCGAGTACAAAAAAACCGGTTAAACCGGTTAACCAAAAATGTTTGGAAATCTTTAAAATATTATAATATTTAGTTGAAAAATTTCATTTTGCGAAATATTATGAATTACTTAATAAGATATTTGCACTTTTTAGTATAAATATGTACATTAATATATCATAAGAAAGCAAACTTATACAGATCTGAAGTTATTATTGATTCGTCAGGTATATGGAAGTTGCCATAGGAGGAATAAATTGACCTTTGAATATATAATGCATCTATATCAATAAAAAATTTTATGTCCAACACTAGTATAAATAGTGTTCAGGCTCGAGACGATTCATCGGGAACGGAAGTAGACGACGACTGTCTCGACATAGACATTGAGCCACTGCTTTAATTGTGACCACCCTCCGCTCACTACGCCTGTGGTTGTTCAAATTACTGTGAATGACACACAGGTGTCAGTACTTACTTCCTGATAATCAACCTAAGCGCCATTACAGTTTGTGAAAAACCCCAGCAGCATAAATTCTCGGACAGCGACAATTACCCTTATGTTTCGATAAATAAAATCCGTTTTGAGAACGTTTGACAAACTTCTCGATTTTTGTTATACTCACGCAGTAAACAAGGAAGTGCATTTTATAATCAACGTTATTTATTCGTCTTAATAAGTAACAAATTTCTTCATATAATGGTTGGAATTTGTTTAAATACTTAATTTTTTATTATTTTTTTGTCTGAATTTGTAAATCTCCATTTTATATGCATAGTATATGTTTAACATTTCCTAACATTTGTTTAACAATCTCAACTATCCAAAATTTTTAAAAATCACAATAAAAAATCAAAGAAAACATACAATTTTGTACTAAAAATTAGATTTTTTTGAAATCGGTTAACCGAGACTTAAAAACCGGATAACCCGGTTAACCGAAAACCAATGTTTTAAAAAAACCGGTTTGCGAAAAACCGAAATATGCAATAAAAACCGGTTCTTCGGTTAACCGGTTAACCGGTTTATAAACACTATTTCTTACACACAAAAACCTTAGTTTTCTGTAAAAAGACAATTTCTATAACGATCCAAAAAAATATTCAAGTAAAAAATTTCACTTTAACGAAAATTTCTCTAAATATTTCTTCTGATCTATCAAAATCTCGCAAAGACTTGGTAAATTTTATAATTTCCTAATATTAAATGACTCTTTTCCGTTGATACTTTCTTTCGCACTAACTAAAATTTTTCATCATCAATATTGGAACGATAGTTATTTAAAGCATTCGAATTACGTTTAAGCGTGCCAGTCTCGCAGTCATTATAGGTTTTCGCCAATACTTTGGGCGTATGATTGTGAGCGATATTATTGCGATTTAGAGTGCCGGTTTTGAAATTTTTCGAAGTAGGCGAAGAGCACATGTTAAAGCTCGATTGTCGTTTAACTTTGGGACGGACATCATAGATCTGTAAGTATAAGAAACCGTTAGGAATAAGTAAATTACAATTTTTTTACACAGTTTAAAGAAAAACTTACATCTTTGGTGGGTAAACTAGAATACTGATTGGGATATGAATCGTAAGCAGTGGGTGAGGGTGTATTGTTTTTCATAAGCGTTACTGGTGGTGAATAACGTCGTCGCGTCATCCAGAATGTCATGAATATGGTTAGAACATATAGTAAAATCACTATAGAGATGATGGAAATCAAAGTGGAAGTAGAAGCCATTTGTGTACCTGGAATAATGATCAAATACAAAATAAATAAAATGTTTCTTTTTGTTGTCACGCGAATTAAACTCACCTTCACATTCGCCTGGCACACAAGCAGTTTTCTCGAATTCTTCACCGCGACATTCGGTTACACTGGGCTCTTCTACCAGACATTTGCGATGTCTAAAACGTATACCATCTTTAGTGCAATCCGACCATTCTGACCAACTACTCCAACCGATGAAATCTGTAATGAAAACAAAATTGTTGAACATTTTCTTTAGATGACTCAGTTAAACTTCTCTCACCTTCACAGGGTTTCATTTCACATTTTTCCTCATCTATCGAACGTCCATGACACATTTTCTCATGACCACCCAAACACTTGCGTGTTCTACGCTTTAAACCTACACCACAGGTTACCGAACAGGGCGACCAATCTGTCCAACAACTCCATTCATGGGAGGATATTACTTCATTGAAACTCGTAGGTGTTTCAGGACAAGCATGCATATTACACGCCCTACTTTGTACGTGTTTACCACGATGTTTGCCATTGCTGTCATAGGCTGCTCTATGTTGTACACCACCTCCACAGGTTACATTACAGGGACCCCATTCACCATGTTCGGCTTCATCTAAAATATTAGCCTCATTATGACGATGACAAACTCCATCACGACAAATGCGATTCTCCGTCTTGGCCAAGGAAATATGCATGGATCCGGCATCTGGAGTGCTGGCTCGGCACACAAAACGAAAACGTTTCTCCATTAGCACCGTGGAACCTTCACTTTCATCTGTTTTATTTTGTTGTATCAACCAGGGAGTCCAGCCACTGAGCTTACGTACCTCCGGGCAAGATTGCATGTTACAATCTTCGTAATCTATATTACAGCCAGGACATTCCATGCCACCATTTTGTGGACTAGGATCATTGCATTCGCGACGACGTATACGAAAACCACCACCACAGAAAGCACTGCATTCACTCCATTCTCCCCAAGGACCCCAACCACCATCAATGGCCACAGGTTTAGGAGCCGGACAGGGTGGCAAATGACTGCAATACATTTCAGCTCTTTCCTGACCCACACAAGTACGACCACCGAAAGCAGGCTTTGGATTGCCACAATAACGTCTTTTCGTTTTAACCGCTATACCGCAGGTCTGACTACATGCCGACCAAGCCGACCATTCCGTCCAGCCACCATGCACGGTACAATTGCTTACCTCGGTATTAATACCGCGACATTCATTGCCACCATTTTGTGGTCTAGGATTATTACACTCCCTTGTTCTGCACATACAATCACCATCACTTTCACCGTGTTTCGAACACTTAAACCAATCTGACCAGGTGGACCAGGCTCCATCAACAGCTGCTGTTAAGACAGGACATTTTAATTCCTCTGCCTGTAGCCAATATTTAGTCATTTGTTCTCCCAAATATTGGGCCGTACATTTTTCCACCAATTCATTCCAACCACAATAAGGATCCATGGCATTTAAGCAGGAAGCCTTGGTAACATGACGACTACAATGTTGAGCTGGTATGCGTGTTAAAGACTGCTCCGAACCCACATATAAAGAATCGGTTACTTTCAAATATTCCATTTTCAATATGCTAGCATCTTCTTCTGTTCTCCAAACTTCCACGAGGCAAGTTTGGGCCGGTGTTGTTTCTGTCTCATGTTTCAGCGATAATTTCTTGATCATATGTTTATCGGTATTGATGAATAAAACATTAACCTTTTCGGTTTTAGTGTGTAACACGTCTAAGGCGATTTGAGAAAATCTTTCCAATTTGCTAAAATATAATGGTTTTTGTGTCAATGGTTGTACGGCACGATCCATTAGCTGATATTTGGAAGACTCTAGGAAATGTTTGGAACGTGTATTTGCCGAGGGTATTTGACATTTAAATTGACTGTTGTGTTTGGAATTAACAGGTCTCCAGGCATTATCGACATGTTCCTGATGTTTAAAAGGACCATCGAAAGCTTCATTAATAGAGGTGAGATTGTAGGCGCACACGGCGGAACCATGGATGCTATTGCTGTAAGAGAATAAAAAGAAGAATAGGATAGATAAGTATATGGTAATTTAAACATTTATTAATCCCCCAATAATACTTACTCGGGAGTTGTGAATGTGGCGTATAAAACATTTTCCGCATCTGAATAAGTCATGCCTTGAATTTCATCAAAATAGAATGGATATTCACCAGGTAATGAACAATTTAGGCGTGCTTTTAAAAACGAAGTCCAATTATCTCTCAAAATCTGATCGCCTCCAGCATCGTTTTTGCAAACACGAGCAATACGAGAATAAATGACCTTTTAAAAGCAAAACAAAATAATTAATTAGAAAAGGCGGAACAGGTTATCAGTTAAAAACTTCAAGTTCAAGTCTAGTCTATAGTCTAGTCTATAGTCTAGTCTATAGTCTAGTCTATAGTCTAGTCTATAGTCTAGTCTATAGTCTAGTCTATAGTCTAGTCTATAGTCTAGTCTATAGTCTAGTCTATAGTCTAGTCTATAGTCTAGTCTATAGTCTAGTCTATAGTCTAGTCTATAGTCTAGTCTATAGTCTAGTCTATAGTCTAGTCTATAGTCTAGTCTATAGTCTAGTCTATAGTCTAGTCTATAGTCTAGTCTATAGTCTAGTCTATAGTCTAGTCTATAGTCTAGTCTATAGTCTAGTCTATAGTCTAGTCTATAGTCTAGTCTATAGTCTAGTCTATAGTCTAGTCTATAGTCTAGTCTATAGTCTAGTCTATAGTCTAGTCTATAGTCTAGTCTATAGTCTAGTCTATAGTCTAGTCTATAGTCTAGTCTATAGTCTAGTCTATAGTCTAGTCTATAGTCTAGTCTATAGTCTAGTCTATAGTCTAGTCTATAGTCTAGTCTATAGTCTAGTCTATAGTCTAGTCTATAGTCTAGTCTATAGTCTAGTCTATAGTCTAGTCTATAGTCTAGTCTATAGTCTAGTCTATAGTCTAGTCTATAGTCTAGTCTATAGTCTAGTCTATAGTCTAGTCTATAGTCTAGTCTATAGTCTAGTCTATAGTCTAGTCTATAGTCTAGTCTATAGTCTAGTCTATAGTCTAGTCTATAGTCTAGTCTATAGTCTAGTCTATAGTCTAGTCTATAGTCTAGTCTATAGTCTAGTCTATAGTCTAGTCTATAGTCTAGTCTGTAGTCTAGTCTATAGCCTAGTCTATAGTCTGATCTGTAGGCAAGAGCTTAGTCTATAGCTTAGTCTATAGTCTAGTCTATAGCCTGGTCTATAGTGCAGTCTGTAGTATATAGTTTTTATATGATACTTACCTTGCCACAGTTCATGTACTCCACAGCTGGTTCCCGGAACAAAAAATAAACAAATTCGCCAGCCTCAAAACTACCCACAAACTGGGGATTATTTAGCCAATCATTGTTATACTGTTTGGTTCTAATAACTTTATGATAATTGGGCTAAAAGAGAGAAGAAAAGAGAAAAAATTTTATGATTTAAAAAAAAATTATAAAATAATTTGTTTTTGACGCAGACTAACTTACCACATTCTGTTGAATATCAGATTTTAAAATTGCCGCATCACTACCCGAAAAATCGGTAGTGGTGCCCACAAACATTTTGTCATCTTTAGTCATTAGACTGGTGATATTCGATTTGGGATTAAAGGGGCATTTACCCACACCACTGTCATAACCAGTGACTGTTAGATTTTCCATCTGAAAATAAGAATTTTGAAAATATTTTTTTTTTTTTAATTTAAATAATGAAATGCTAGTTTATGTTTATGATTATGATTATAACTTATTATAGTTAATAACAATATGCAGTATACTATTATTATTATTGTGATTTAAGTAATAACTTCTATTTACAATTAATTCTCAAATGTTTTAAGGCAACATTAAACACAGAAAACAAAAAAAACTGAAAATAATAAATAACAAGTTGTTAATTGCAAAATCTTTGTATTTTCGGTTTTGTTATTTGATTGTTAGTTGTTGTGTTCTGTGTTGGTTTCTGGTTGTATTATGTTTTAATAGTTGTTACTGTTGTTGGCTGTTTTTAAGCTCCGACTTACCTGGCGCCATGTACAATTCGGATTGAAGGCATACGTCCCACACGCGTACAATAGATTCTCACCATAAGTTTGCAAAACGCGCACATAATTACGACACATTTGCTCTGATTGGCCTTTTGCCTGACACATTGCGATTTGTGCTGCTGTTGCCTCCCAATTGGCACGTTCAAGCAACTCCAAATCGAAGGACATCCGATATAAAATATCTCTGCAAAAAGAAGAAAAATAACAAGAAATTCTTTAGTTGATATATAATTTAGACAAGATATAGTTTTGAAATTGATAAAGATAAACTTTAACGAAGGCGTACGATATATGGCTTAAAGGCTTAGATAAAACGAGATTAAATTAGACATGGATTATACAAAATCTTAAGAAAAAGCAACAGCTTGGTTTTGGAAACTACCCCAAGTAGTTAGCAATATCAAGACCCCAAACTCATCTCGATGTTGGGATACAGGACATGTCACCCCAAATGTATATTCATAGTTTCTTAGATAAGCTTCTCTTTAAATCATACCCCTCAACCTTCAATTCCTACTTGGCACTCCAAAGCCTGCACCACTGTTCATTCTTATTACTACAATTTTCACCGATTTATAAGCAAACGTTTGATATATTTTTTTTTCGGTTTTATTATTTAATTACACCCAAAACGAAATGATAAAAGCAAAAATCTTATAAAAACGTTCATTGAACTGCAAGGCAAACAGGTACATTAAACGCCCATCAACAATCAACGAACAAGCCACAACTGGACAACCGACAACAACAGCAACAAACAAAAGTAAACATTCATTCATTTATTCAATCTTAAAACTCAACTAGTAAATAGATACAATTGCAATTTCTGCCCATTATTACCCAAGAAACATAAAGATACTTTTGCCCGAATGAATGCCAGTGAATAGAAAAAAACATGAAAACATTTTTCATTTTTAAACCCACAACTTTGACTGGAGGAAAAATATAATATCTCAAAACACACATAAATCGGTATATGTATGGTGGTCACATGTTACTTTTAATTAGGGTTTTAACAACGAGAATTTTGGGGACATAGAACAAAGGAATTTTCCCAATTTTTTAGAAACCGATTTCCGGAATTCTAAAACACAATTCCTATTAAATTGTATTTTTGTAAATCTTGGACTTAACGAACTAAGACGGAAATCAGTCCTACACCTGGGTTACCATGATCATAGTTTCAGTGTTGTAGACATTTAGCAGGGAGATCGTAGAGGAGGTCCCCACCAGAGACTCTGGTAACAAGCGAACCACAGTCGTAACTAACTACTAACTACTACTAACTAACTAACTAACTAACTAACTAACTAACTAACTAACTAACTAACTAACTACTAACTAACTAACTAACTAACTAACTAACTAACTAACTAACTAACTAACTAACTAACTAACTACTAACTAACTAACTAACTAACTACTAACTAACTAACTAACTAACTAACTAACTAACTAACTAACTAACTACTAACTAACTAACTAACTAACTAACTAACTAACTAACTAACTAACTAACTAACTAACTAACTAACTAACTAACTACTAACTAACTAACTACTAACTAACTAACTAACTAACTAACTAACTAACTAACTAACTAACTAACTAACTAACTACTAACTAACTAACTAACTAACTAACTAACTAACTAACTACTAACTAACTAACTACTAACTAACTACTAACTAACTAACTAACTAACTAACTACTAACTAACTAACTAACTAACTACTAACTAACTAACTACTAACTAACTAACTAACTAAACTAACTACTAACTAACTAACTAACTACTAACTAACTAACTAACTACTAACTAACTAACTAACTACTAACTACTAACTAACTAACTAACTAACTAACTAACTAACTAACTACTAACTAACTAACTAACTAACTAACTAACTAACTAACTACTAACTAACTAACTACTAACTAACTAACTAACTAACTACTAACTAACTAACTAACTAACTAACTAACTACTAACTAACTAACTAACTAACTAACTAACTAACTACTAACTAACTAACTAACTAACTAACTACTAACTAACTAACTAACTAACTACTACTAACTACTAACTAACTAACTAACTAACTACTAACTAACTAACTACTAACTAACTACTAACTACTACTACTACTAACTAACTAACTAACTAACACTAACTAACTACTACTAACTAACTAACTAACTAACTAACTAACTAACTAACTAACTAACTAACTACTAACTAACTAACTAACTAACTAACTACTAACTAACTAACTAACTAACTAACTAACTAACTAACTAACTACTAACTACTACTAAAACTAACTACTAACTACTAACTAACTAACTAACTAACTAACTAACACTAACTAACTACTAACTAACTACTAACTAACTAACTAAACTAACTAACTAACTAACTACTAACTAACTACTAACACTAACTACTACTAACTAACTAACTAACTAACTAACTAACTAACTAACTAACTAACTAACTAACTAACTAACTAACTAACTTAACTAACTAACTAACTAACTAACTAACTACTAACTAACTAACTAACTAACTAACTAACTAACTAACTACTAACTACTAACTAACTAACTAACTAACTAACTAACTAACTAACGTAACTAACTAAACTTAAAACTAACTAACTACTAACTAACTAACTAACTAACTAACGAACTAACTAACTAAACGAAAACTAACTAACTAACTTAATTTCTGCTTGATAGAGGACAAGCAAGTTGGAAAAATGATATTGAGAGTTACACGCCAATAGCATTTGACAAATTTTGTTGGTAGATCTGTACATACATTGTCCACAGAGACTCATTTTGTATCTTCTTTCGTGCTTTATTTTCTTTAGTTTTTAAGTTTGTAATATTTTATGTATTTTGTTTTTTTTTATTTTTTATATCACAAATAAACACAATATTTTTAATAAATATTATGCAGTTTTATAACAAAATTGTAGAAAATTATTTTCTTTAGTAAAATATGTGTTTATTGTGTATAATTAACACGTTAATACCGTAAAAATTTAAGACTTTGTAGGAGCTTACTAATTACTCGACCGTTCGCAATGAAAACTAGAACTGAAACTGACTTACTATGGGACACGTCATCAACTGGACACATTGGAACACTATACACAATCATCGGATGTAACCGATCGCATACCAGACACTGTATATGTCAGCAACTTTGTAACCCTGATCCCAAATAGAATATCTCGGTCAAGCGGTACATTATAGCAAATACCCCTAGGAATTCGGAAGCCTCTAAACTAGGTGCCAAAGTGGAATACTCTGCCAGTGGTAAGGTTTACCAGGCCACTCGTACAACACTCGGCAATAAAAGAGCCAACTTACTTGGCAATGGGATGGTAGCATAAGGAAGTTTACATCATTTAAGTACCAGGCCACTCGTACAAGACTCGGTGATAATCGCAAATGAGCTTAAAGAAGTTTACCTAACGAATGCAAAACCGTTCGACACAACGAAGGCTGTATAAAAGCCCCCTTTATGGGAGGGCTCCATAAGGCCACTATGAATAAGTCGGAGGTTAGTAGGGTGGTTTGTACTTTCTTAGTTTACTGGCACGACAATATAAATTTGGACGAAAGGATTTAGGCAGTGAGTACAGTGAGACACACGAATACTTTTCCTGTCATAGCTTGACTATGATCAAAATAAGAACTTGGGAGCGATATTATTCCAGATATTACAATACTCAGTAATAGGGAATAATTCCAACTATGTCCTGGAAACTAAGTTTCTGAATATTGTACCATAATTCCTTTCATAGATCGCTGAAAAAAAGGGCACAACAGGACCATCTTTCAACTTAAGCGAAATATTTAAGCAATTCTATGGAATGCTTAGAATATATCCCAAATCCCAAGTTAAAAAACCCCTGTTTGCAACATGTGTGAGTGTGTGTGTATACATTCAACAAACAAGTGATTGTGTCAAGATAAATATTATGCACACAGACTCACCAACAGGCGCGTACTCACTCAGTCACTCAATACAATATGGTTTTTTGGATAATTTTACATTTTGGTGGCTTTTTGAATTTGCGTTAAGAGATGACTGTCTGTCTGTCCGTCCGTCCGTCTGTCTGTCTATCGAATATGTAGCCCGGAGTTAAGTCGCCAGTCTAAACAATACTAAACGAGAAAAAAAGTAATAAAAATTTACTAGTAACAAATATAAAAATAAAACGCCCAAATTGTTTGATATCTTAACGCCCATATACGCTGCTGTTTAACAGCTGAAAGAATTATATTTTTTTTGGAAATTTTTTATTTTATAATTATTTAATATAAATTAAAAAAGATTTTTCATTTAAAACAAATGTTCCAAAGTTGAGAATAGACATTTAGCCTCAGGCACGCGTCCCTCAAAATAAATTTTTCAATTCCAAAATTTTGCGTTTTTCTCACACAACATGTGAGAACACATGCAACAGTTGGACAAGTTAAATACCGCCAAAGTAATCTTGTACTTTCATGTATTTGTCAATTTTTTTAATTAAACATTTCATCAATTTTTTTTTTTTTTGGAATTTAGTTTACATTACAGCTGTTGCAAATGTTATTTTTTTTTTTTTTTTGGGAAATATATGTACTTTAGGAAAACACTTGCACCATGACCCATTTTTTTATGAGTTTTACAAGTTTATTTATGCCGAAACCATAGCAACCGTAACCACCTTTTTACAAATGGTTTTTTCTCTCTTAATCAGAAATGTGGCATGTTGCATATAGAGAAAATTATGTGCATTTTTTTTCAAGTTGCCGCTTTGTAGACAATGTTTATTATGTACAACGTTACTGTGTGCAACGTTGCATGGTCTATTGGGCCTATACTACTATGTCGCATAATTTCTGTGTGTTTTTTCAAATATTTCTAAACACTGAACAAAATTTTTAGTGCAAAATGCATAATAAAACAATTGGAAAGTAGATTTTATTGTTTTTCCTAAGAATTTATATTACAGAACTTTGTTTTTTCTTACATTTCACTTCCTTTTTAATTAATTTTATTAAGGGAAATAACATTTTTGAAATTTAATAAAATTCTTTGAATTTTATTTAACAACTTGGGCGTTAGTTTTAAAAGTCTAAGCTATACCTCCACTGGTTTTGAAAATATTTAGACATATTGCT